GAACACTCGCGAACTATTGTTGATCATGAGTAATCACTATTCAAGAATAAAGTAAATAAATCAACAGATAACTATTTGAGTATATGGAGGCTTGATTTTCGACCTTTTGAAAGCGGATAACAGTTGAAAATTTTGTTCAACTATCGATCAGTATGATGATCGACGAAGCCGACCGTAAATATTTAATTCAACATTTTGCTTACTAATGAAGATATTTAAGTAGTTTAAATATTTTAACAAAATAGGTGTCTTTATCAAGGTTTGATTTGATTTTAACAAAATGTTTATTTGGAAGGATTAGATATATAATTTCTTTTATAAATGTTATTAGAATTCATAGTTGTTCTAAAGCTCAGATGACGTTGTCACACTGGTCTAACCCATAGTGCTAGGTAGATTTTATTGATCAAATAGAATCGTGACCACTACATTCAGTGACTCAATATCGTGTAACCTATGTTTTTATGTTAACTGGCTGGTCATAGTTATCAGAAATCCCTTAACCTACGACAATACACAGTGGTAGAAATGAGGAGTATTTCGGAAAGGATAAAATTGATATGAACTAGATTTGCAATATTGCGTTGCTGTGATGTCAATTTACGTATTTGTCGGACAGATTATGTAATTTCTAAACATGATTATATCTGTTTAATGTATATTCTTACATACGCTCGACGTTTCAAATAAAATAGTGGCCATAGTTTGTTCATGCTTCATTTCTTAAAAGCTGATATTCACAAGCATAAAAATTGTTAAACGTCTCAACTGGTTCCAATCACTATTCATTTCTGATATTCCCCATCATCAAGATAAGTTGTTAAGCTTCTAGCTTGTAAACAAGCGCTTCATCATCACATTTAAATAATTACAGGGGGAGCAAGTAATGTTCAGCTTAAGAATCGTAGGATTTGAATGTGTTAAAGGTGTCAATTAAATAGAATCAATCATTGAAAACTGATTTGCAATGTACAGTGAAGAAAATAAAAATTTAATTCAGTCATTGGAACGTTTTAGTTTAAAAGTTAAAAATCCGTATAAAAATCACAAATGACTTTCTTGTAATAAGTGTGATGTAAAGGTTAGACACATAAATCAATTACAATGTGTATCGCATTGCTAATTAACGGTTATCTTCATGTACACTACATAATCTACCTGGAATGCAGATGCTAACAGAATTGACTCAGTTAATCTTCATTAACCGTAACTAAACCAGATCCTTTTTGACGATGAGCACCGTAGTTCAGAAGATCATGAGAATTTAGTTTGACCAGGAATTTGTATTAATTAAATGACAATAATAAATAAACTGATCACCCGTAGAATAAATGATGGAATATTGGAACCAATACAAATTCACTAACAACATCAATTATTATTTTATATAACATTAACCTAACAATCACGATTACAAGATTATCTGAGATATAACTTGACCTATCTTAAACAAAGCATTCAATGAAGATTAATTGAGAGATATTAAACAAATTATTGAACATTTTCAAGGATGAGTATCAAATGAATTTCTCATTGAATAACTCAACAGTCATGTAAGTACGTAAATTGGTTCATACAATGAAGTTTAACTCTATTATTCTAAATGTCTGCCCCAAATGCCTTGGTAAGGCCGAGAGTGGGGAGAGTCCGCTCTACCTCTCAAAATACTCTCACATGGCTACGCGTATATAGCCTCTGCCAGGGAAGTACTACTCATTGCCTTCTCATCGCACCAGTGTTGTTTACGCAATTGAGAGGACGAAAAGCGAATGTCCGGCACTTTATCCAGGTTGGTGTACATGGAGAGTTCACCTAGGGTAGTTGGAAAACCCTGATTGCAAACCAATGGTGCACATGGGCTCCAGTATCCTGAAGGAACAAATGATGTATGAACCAATTGTTGGTCACTGGCTACCATGGGACTGCATCTCCTTACGATGCTCCACTGCATTGCGGATCAGACCTTCAGATCGAAGGCTCCAGGTGTGGCCTCTTAGAAAGACCACTTGCTTCGGTATGGGCACCCGGGCAGTATCACAGCCCTCACACATATCAAATGAGATTTGTGTGGCGTATATGTATTTGGTGCCTTCTTGTACCAATATCTATGTGTTAAAATAAATATAAATAAGACTGTTATCAACACAATCTTACAAACTGACGTCTGGATGGATAAGGATACATTTAAAAAATGACTTAATATATAGATGAAAATTATAAGCAACAGTATAAGTTGATAACCAAGTGATATTTGGTTTACTCAACTTTGAACTATACATTCTTATAACTAAACTATTCACGAGTAACTGCTTTTGTTGATTACGTAACTTCTGCTTTATATTTCATTGTTTAATCTTATACTAACTGTTCTCTTATTGGTTGATATACATCTAATCTGTCAAGTTATGATGAATTAGTTATTTTACTGCCTACCTGTGTGGAGAACCAACTGTTGTTTTCCAGTTCGTTAACTCAAATGTGACTTTTTAAGCCAGGTTAATCAATATTTATTGTAAGACCATTTATTATATATGTTGATATTCATATATCAATCGAAAGTAAGACAGTATTTTGACTTTAGTCAATCACGAGTGTTTTACTCCAGAGAAACTAAGAGAATAGCAATACTTTTCCTAACAGAAGTGATTAACACAATGAACAGTTCAATCTAGTAAGTAGAATGTAAGTCCTCTAAGTCAGGACCAACGTAGAACCTGATATATATTTCTATTGGTTGCCACACGAAATGAGCATAATGAGAGAACGCTAAAGAGACGAGTACTAATGTACAAGAAAAACTATTATTATTATTATCGCTATTAATGGTAGTAGCAAATATTAAAGATAAAAGATGTGATTCAGGAAGAGTAAATTTGCAGAGGAAAAACAGGGTAATCTTAAAACTGAATATAAGGGACGACAAAGAATGAATGGATTTGTACCACAACTGTTAGATCCAAGTGAAGAGTAAATTACGAGTAACTTCTGAGACATATTAATGGAATAATATGATATATACATTCTTATTGTATAACTATTCAGTAACTAGATTATGTATATCTATATTTATCATATTATAAGCTTCATTTTGACCTATAACTTATTATTATACGATTTACTGTTCTTAAATTATACTCGGTTTATTAATTACTGTCTCCCACGTTCACAGCCACTTTTGGCTTTGTTTGGCTGGTATATGAACCAAGTATGTCTGAAATAAGTTATTCGCATAGTGGAAGCTGTTATTTGTGTTCTGGACTCAAATGGACGGGCTAGGCGAGCAAAAGACCAATAAGCGCGCTAGGCTGATCAGATCAGTCGAACGTCATTGGTTTAGTACAGTACAAGAGTGAATAAGTCGTATTTCGATTGGCAAATAAATTACGTGATAACTAACCGGACTTAAAGTCACAACAACGACCACCGATTCTAACCCATGTATTCTATCGTCTCCTATCATTTATCGTAATGATCATAACAACACTGACCAGGCAGTTTAAATCTCCCTCTAAATGCAAGTTGTTGCTTCATGACTGGTCTGCGTCAATACCTGAACTGAGGATAGGAAGTGAGGTAGTCTGATCAGCACTAATGGGTCGGTATCTGACAAAATCTCAGCACGGATTCGAAAAGCTCGTTTGGCTTTTGCCAACTTACGTCACCTATGGAGAAGGCGAGATACCCGTCTATCAACAAAAGAACGAGTATACTGCGCGGCAGTCCGTTCTGTTTTAATTTACGGCAGCGAAACATGGCCCTTAAGAGTAGAAGATATTTGTTAGCTACTAGTATTTGACCACAGATGACTTAGAAATATTGCTCACATCTGCTGCGATCACCGGGTAAGTGATAGTGAGGTTAGACGCAGGGTATTAGAGAATGATGGCAAGTCAGTTGATGAGTTTGTGAATCTTCATCGACTGAGATGGTTGAGCCACGTGTTACGTATGCCTGAACACCGATTACCACGACGTGCAATGCTAACCGGTGTTGGGGATGGCTGGAAGAAAGTTAGGGGTGGCCAAATCAAAACGTGGCATCAGTCCTTGAAGTGACTAACTTCTGGTCTGAGCCATGTTGGTAGATGCAGACTACTTGGTTCGGGACCGCGCGACTATCGTAACCAATGGCGTGAGACTCTGTGACATGGCTCAGAATCGATCACAATGGCGTAGGTGTATACACTCTGTCTTCCCTTAAACTAAGAGATTACAATCGCTTCATATCTTTCTTCCTACGTGCGAAATCTTTCTTCCTGTACTATATCCTTATATACAATCTTTCTTTTATATATTATCACCATTGACTTAACTACTTTTACGAATCCGGTTTTCATCTTACTGTGTTAATGCGGTATGGCAACTTGGACTGATGCATATATGTGCCTGGTCCTATGTTGTAACTGACTGACAATACATAGTGAGATTAGATGGTGGTTGGAGGTAATCGACAGGAAACCCTGAACACGGGTTTCGTGCTACTTGGCACTCTTTAGCAACGTGTACCTGTAGTCTTGAGGGAACTGGTGCTCCCTGACGGATTCGATCCCGTGTCACCCAGCTTCACAGTCAGAGACGTCACCACTGAACTATCCGAGCCGCGACCGACCTCCTGTAAGACTGAGATGTAATCATAATTGACTGATCACTGGGTGGTGATCAATGTCATGCGTGGGTTTCCTGTCGACTACCTCCAACCACCATCTAATCTCAATATATAGTGTGCGCAGTGTCGAGTCACCTAGACTGGTGGCCACATTGCAACATGATCGATAGCATTCGATCTGCACTAATAAGGACTAGACACGCATGATATTGATCGCCACCCAGTGATTAATCAATTGTTACAATACATAGTTCAATAGTTATTGACTTCATAGATTAGTGTCACATCTTCGTTTGATTGTCCCGCTTTAACTTTTACATACATACATATACAAACATCCACTTTCTTTTCTCTCTAAAATTCTATCATTATTACCAAGTGAAAAGAGTTTAAATCAATGATCAATATCTTTCTTCATAATTACAACAAACATACTATTATCATTAATCATCATTTCATTTCATTTTAAACGAGAATGGATCATTTGGATCATGTATCAAGGCACACACTTTGAAATAGATAATAATAATAACAACAACAACAACAAAAGAGATAAATAGAAAGAAAGAAATGTAATTATTGTAATAAATTGATGTAAACATACACATAATCAAATATAAGAATAAAGAGCTATATGAAAAGGTTAACAAACCAATATAAACAGTAAATAGGAAACAATGTGATTCGATTCTAATAATCACTTTCATAAATACATTCATAGTATAAAATGAACTATGAGATGGTTATGAGAGACCCCCCGGAAAAAGACAAAAGAAAACAGTTTAAAAAATAAAAGCTAATAAAGAAAGAAATTAAAAGTTGTGTATAATACATGACTTTATCATTTAAATATAACTACTAATGCTTGTATTCCATGGCAGTAATAATAATAATGTGTTATTTGTTCAGACGGTAGTTTTCACACACACACACACCCTCTCTCTTCATTAATCAAACAATAAACAAACAAACTGATTATTAAGGATTCAATTCATGTCAATTAGTAAACATATATATATATATATATGGCTAACAGTTTACAAAATATGGAATAATTAGAAAATAAACAAACCAATATAAAATTAATTAATGTCATGCAGGCAACAAAAATTGTAATCATCACAATTAAAAAAGAATGGTAATTATAATAATGATGACGATTATTATCCATTACAGGAATTAGTGGGGAAAATTGTTTTAACAAAAAAAAGAAAATCAGTCGAACTCATCATCATAAACAGTGTGTATACACACCACGGCTTCACTTAATACGCATAACCAGTATACGGTGTATATCATACAGGGGGGGGGAGTGTATGTAAGTAGGCCTGTGCTCCTCCACGAGGATTAACAGGTATAAGTATGTTTGTGTGGCAGATACGTACAGATATACACAAGCATGTAGATTGATAAATTGTATATTTGTTGACCAACTGTCAGCTGTTTTGACTCTCTCTCTCTCTTAACACATAACATAAATAATACGATATACACAAAAAGAAAACTTATTGGGTTATAATAGTAGAAATTGTCTTTTGACGTTAATTTTCACAATTTACATTATCGTCAATACTGTTTGTATTATTGACTAAAGTAGAAGATTGTGATTTTAGTAACGAATTATTATCATTATTATCCTTAACGGTATTTTCGATAGGAGTAGTAGCCAAATCATTGACAATACTAAGCGACGACAAAGACTGATCATCAATATTACAATGGTTGGTTAGTTCAGATGGTGATGATGACGATGATGAATCGACAGTTTCAACTTCGTCGAATCCAGTTGCCGTCACTGTTGTTGTTGATGATGGCAGTAGTTCAGTTTGATTATAAGCTGGATTATTATCATTATCATTACCATTATTATTCTGTTTAACTTTAATATAATAACATTGAAACGGTTTACTGCTTGTTGTTATCTTCAATGTATCCATAGCTTCATAGGCATAGAATTTCACATCAGTATCAGAATCTTCAGCTAAACGAGTTAAACAAGATTTAATTTCATTTTCAATATTTTTCTCTTCTAATTGTGAACCTAAATTGCTAAGTGCTTGAGCGACCTATCAATTATAATAAATAAAATAATAATAATAATAATAAGTACCAATAATAATAACAATGACGATAAGCAATTTGAATCTTATTATTTTTGCATTGACTCAATCGTCACTCTTGGTTATGAGTCACCGTAGAATCTAAATATGAAGGTTAGTGAAATTACCACTTAGTTGTTTACATGATGATAGATTCAATGGAACCCTCTAACTACTGTGCCACAGCTCCGAAAACCGAATTAAATTGGTTAGCATTTTAGGATTTTTGTGTCATGTCAAACTATGGTCAACTATTAGTTGGGAAAATTACGCGGACTTCAAGCGGATAGTATGCACGCGCATACACAGCTCAGTCCAAAAATCGATAATTTAGTGGACTAATGTCATGTCTAGGTTCGATCTACTTTTAGTTTACTTTCAACTTACTCCTACACCAAGTATCCCGCGTCAGTTTGGGCACCCGAGCAGTATCACAGCCCACACACACACACACAAATATAGTGTGGCGCATATATATTTGGTGCCCTCTTGTACCGATATTTATGTGTTGAAATAAATAAATAAAATCCCGCGTCGAGGTAGGCGGTGGTTGGGTATACATAATGTGTCCCAATCACCTCAGTCGATGAAGACTAACTACCTTATCAACGAATTTTTATCTTTACCAAGTATCCTGTGTCTAATTTCAGCGTTGCCTATTTAGTGGTCCGAACATACCCACTCAATGCTTCCAGGGCATCTACAGTCAGATACTAATAACCTACGATAATATCCTGTTTTTAAAAACCACATTTCACGGCCATTAATACAGTTAGTACACTTGAACAATACTAATAACAATATCAACTAGTGGACATTTTCGACATCTCCACATCTACTTAAAAGCTACCACATATGAAGACTGTTGAATGAAAACAGGAAACCTTATAATTATTGACGTTTTAGGTTCGAATACCGGCTACAACTAATTCGGTTTGGACAGTTGCCTAGAGCTAAGTTCAAGTGTGGTTTAAAGTCAAGTAATCGGGTTCGTACTTCGTTGAGTTACACAACTTAGCCATATTATTTTTTCACAAAGGAAAGAAGCACCTTTAGAAATGAAATTGTAATTACTTGTCGCAGTAGTGTAACAATCTTATACACAAACGCCTTTAATTGGAGTGTAGTGAGTAAGGATATTTTTCATAGCGATTTAAATTCATTACTGGAAAGATGATGAATTAGACTTACTCCCTGAGTGTAAATAAATAATTAATACAGACATTTTCGATTATTGTTGCTTTTGAATAAAAATTTTGAGCAGGCTTTTCTGTGCGCAATCCAAACATTTGTCGTTCAGAAGTGATTAGACGTGAACAGTTCAATTACCGAGATATTTTCATGAATCTCAATTCATAGACTAGTCTACCTACAATTGAAGCTAGCAGTGTGTCTCATCTAAATCAGGTTAGATTAATCCGAATTATCGCCAACCTATTAAGTATTGATAGCTCAATTAAAACTGAACATAACATCAAACAGTAAACTGATCAATATATCTGTGAAACTTCAGTGACTGAGGTAACTTACATATGTGATAGGTAAGACCACAAATCGATTACCCTAATACGTAATGCTTCGTTAGCATAGGAGAGGATGGAAATGTTTAAACTAAAATACGGATACCACTAATGATTACTGGTCCAGTTACTGAATGAAATCGCAAGCTTTGTTATTATGTTCGATAAGATCTTATGTGACTATTCAAAATTGATTGAATAGTAGTCCAGATTCATTTGTATCCTCCTGTTAATTTCGAATTTCAATTCATATATTTATTTCATTTGCTTTCTCCGAATTATATTTAATGTCTCTATTAAAGTTGGACAGTGACTAACAGTAGAACTCAGGATGCCCATTTCGTTCCATTTTAAAATCATCATCCAGATAAACCTGTATATCGGCGTTGATTTTCATATTGAGACTTGAACATAATATACTTTTGGCTCCAAACGCCAATACACTATCCATGAAAACATATAGTCCAGATAACCACCGGTTTGTGTAACGAGTAAAAAATTTTATTTATAAGTTTACGTATCTTCCCGTTGTTAAAGTCCCAGTGTAAACATTAACATCCGTATGCAGATACATGTAGATAACGGGCCCCTCAATAGTGGGGTGGGAAATACATCCAGAGCTCCACTACTATCCACTAACTATCTTCACTAAATGACAATATCGAGCTAATCCGCTCAGAATCTGATCAATTGTAATCATTAAATTCAACAACAACAAAAAGTATAAGGTTTGACAAATATATATTCCTTATACTTAAAATTTCTTTCTTATTACATTTATAATACAATTTACTTTGAATCATTTTGATTTCTACATTCTTGTCAATTGACTTTCTTCATTATATTCATACATGTGACGATAGTGTTATACAAATATGAACTGAAACATACACTGTTTTTAATGATAAATTTTACAGGTTGATTAAAATTACTATTTTACCCTATTATAGTAATAATAATTGAATAGAGTACCTCATGAACTATTCTTATCAACCATTAACATAAAACACTAATGTGATAATGATATAGATAATATGAATTTACTTACTTTAAACCGAACATTAGGTACATTATCTGTACGCATTGATAAAACAGTAGGTAATAAATACTGACAACAAATTGTTGGATTGACAACTTTACACAAACTTATAATACTTTGTAAACAAATCATACGATGAAGATAATTTTCATCACGTGACAAGTGGATAATCTATAAATTGTTAATTGTAAAATAAAAAGAAAAAGTAATGATATATATATATATATATATATATATATATATATATATGGGCTGTAGTAATCATCGATAAGTATTTATTGAGATTATAAACCGATCAATGTTAGGCCAGTATTGAAAACCTAGAAGTATTGAACTGGTTTCGACAGTTAATTCTTGGAGTTCTAGTGAGAAAACCGTGACCAGTGGAGTTCAATCATATCAAGTATGAGGCAGTTACCCACAAAAGACAATAGAAGATGGTTGAGTAATTTTGTGGATGGGTTGAGGTTATACACTAACACTGTTGGATGATGGCTCAGTGCTCGTGTGAGTGACTGAAGGTTTCGGGTTCGAATCCTACGTGCGGAATCGTGAATTTGCACTGTTAATCATTGTGTAATATAGCAGTTTAAAAATTTAAATTATTTGCTGATGAATCACTTGTTCAATAGCTTATCATTGTGCACTTACTTTTACAAGGGGATAGCGAAATTGGGAAGTAGAAAAAAGGTATTAGTTTCAGAATAAATACTCGATTGAAGACTGTTTGTCCAGGAAAAAGAATCTTCACTTTACACATGAAACGGATAACAAGTAAAAATCGATAAGTCTACATTATTCAGTACCTTTGACTTCATTTATCAATTTACGTGTCATGTGATAGATATAAATTAGAACAGAGACACGAGTACATTTTTATATTGCTGAGTACATTCTAAAGAGTTAGAGACTACATATTGCCACGAAAGTACACAGTTCAATACCTCGATATTTCATTGACAGTGGGGATATTACAGAGGTTTATCAACTATTCGAAATCATTAACGGATAAAAAAGCAACTTCTTTACGCCTCTCTGAAGTGATAGCAAATTAGAAATTCACATTAAATGTAAGTACTCAAAAAGAGACAGTTGTTAATTTATCACTGTCATGGTAAATTCATAATTTTGATTAAATCATTTCCAATGGATACGGAGGTTTTGGTCCCCGATGACAGGGTCGTGGGTGAGTAGCGGTGAGGAGTCCCATATTAATCATTGTTTTTTCTTCAGTCGAATTCGTAAAGAGAGCTAACTGTATTTTTTATTATCTCTCTTATTACAACTTAGTTACTATTAATGCTTCGTATTTTTCGAACACTTTACTGTCGCTGAAAAATTTTCAAATCAGAACATGATTGAACAGAGACGTAATTATGTTCCAAATAAATATGATAAAATGAGAGTTTACTATATTATTTATTTGAACACATAGATATTGGTACAAGGAGGCACCAAATACATATTCGCCACACAAATCTCATTTGATTTTTGCGAGGGCTGTGATACTGCTTGGGTGCCCAAACCGAAGCAGTTGGTTTTCCTAGGGGGCCATACCTGGAGCCTTTGAACGAGAGTAAGAATTTTAATGTGAAAAACGTTAGTATATTTATAATTTCACAAGAGAAAACTTCACAGTCTTCTCCAATAATCCGCTAGAGCTAATTAGCTAAGATATGACTAGTCAGCGTGTCCCAACACAACTCTACACGGAACATGCTTTAACCCAATCCATATTCCGTCAACAGTATTAACAAAGAGAGGAAATTTCGTATTTGCGTTTTGTTGCGAATTCTTGTCAACTAGGGAACTTGATATAAACCAAACATTACTGAACAACGGCTTAATTCTAAAATAATAAGCTTTATATTAACATAAATCCACGACCCCACCATAAATAGAACGCAGAACCTCCAGGTCTCTCAGAAGGCGTGTTATCTTCAAGCTGTTGAAGTTAGAGATGTGAACCGCCCCCAAATGCTCTGGTACGGCCGAGAGTGGGGAGAGTCCGCTCTCCCTCTTGAAATACTCTCACATGACCACGTGTATATAGCCTCTGTCAGGGAAGTCCTACTCACTGCCTTCTCGTCACACCAGTGTTGTTTACGAAAATGAGAGGACGAAAAGAGAATGTCCGGCGCTTTAACCGGATTCCAAACCAATGGTGCACATGGGCTACAGTATCCTGAAGGAGCAAATGGCGTATGAACCAATCGTTGATCACCGGCTACCATGGGACTGCATCTCCTTACGATGCTCCACTGCCTTGTGGATCAGACCTTCAGGTCGAAGGCTCTGGGTGTGGCCCCCTAAGAGCACCACCTGCTTCGGTTTGGGCACCCGGGCAGTATGACAGCCCCCACACATATCAAATGAGATTTGTATGGCGCATATGTATTGGCGCTTCCTTGTACTAGTATCTATGTGTAAACACATACACATAGATGTGAACCAATGAACTCTATCATGAAAAAGGTGTTTTTCTCTAAAACTGGAAAGTCCAGGTGGGGTGTAAATACGTACAGACTGTCCTATGATTTCATTGGTTTGCTTTAAATAATAGTTTACCGGTTTAAATTAAGAGACTTTATTCTAAAGTTATCCATACGTTTTATTCCACACAGTTAATCTTATTCATACTATTAAATATAATAAGAACGAAATCAAGAATAATTTCCTGATATTAATTTTATTCTGAAAAAAAAACAGATGAACGATATTAGATTACGTAGTAAAATGAGTGATTCAAATTATTTGCTGCTTGTTAAGGCAAGCATCAAAGAAATAATGAAGCCTAACTACTTAATTAACTCTTCCTTACCTTCACAGATTATGTTATTAATACAGAAAACTGATCATTTCAGTAATATCTCATTAATTTAAAAATAAATAAAAGTGATGAGCGCCGCATAAAATAAAATGTGTGAAGGAGGAGCGAGATATTGTCTGGTCTTCATAAACCGATTATCTTAATCTCACACGATTACATAATGTTGGCTGTTATCCGATCGCTTTGATTGTTAACCGTAAAAGTACATCTTCAGTATATATATATTACATTATGTGCTTGCTGAATTATCCTCTCGCTCTTTTTTGTTCTTCCGTACTCCAGATTCTTGCGATCATACTGCTCTAAACACTCCCACTCCCCCAGTACACAGTATACTTCATTTCTGTTAGACACACAATTACCATAAGTTTAACGTTTCACCTGTATTACCAATTTATTTTATAGTTATTAATAACTGGTTATATCATTTAGTCTTCATTACTGGGTAGAGATGGTTAAAAATTAGTTCCTCATTATCAAATGGAACAATCAGATAGTATCATTAGCCCAATGTAAACGTATGGTCTATAACCGAGTATATGGTCACCAATATTGTTACAAATAATTAATAAGTCTAAAAAATTGTATTGACGTTACGAAGTTAAAATTATAGAAGCTACCTCCGATCGAATGAAAATCAAACAACTGAACAGTATTATTGATCTTCAAATAGTGAGTATACCTTATAAATAGATATAATATCCATGAGATTCTGATTTATTCTTATGAATTACGGCTATTTAATGAGATATTTTAAGAGTAAATACAGAACAGTACATGATTTAGCATAACAAATAGTGTATTAGATTGTACAAAATCTTCAGTAAGATATGTGACAGATCCAATTAAGTGACATTAAAATTGAGTTTCAACTCAAGAAAATAATTTAAATGTATCGTCCTAAGAGATCCAAATCTTCTCTTCTCAATCTCTGGTAGTGTCTCAGATGTGCAGTTTTGAGGAGTCCTATAACACAATAAAACAGCTGTCCAATTATGTTTATAGTTTATAGAACAGGTTTGAAAGAACCACAGAAAACCAAGAATCACTACAAAGCCCTTTCACCCTAGTATAAAACTTCTCAACAGTGTGTATCCCCGGCCACACCAAGGATCGGGATCAGATCCAGGACCCTTATGTTTTGAAACAAGTGTTTAACTCTTAAACAATTGAGTTATTATCCGATAATTTACTTTAATCAGTTCGTATTGTTATAAAACCATTTACCAAAGCAAATACTGAGTAACTACCTCACACTTAACAAGTCACAGTTTCTTACTAAGAACTCCCAGGATTACCAATGATCTTTGATTTTTTTTCATTTTATTATCAATATTCCCATATAGCAAACTAAATTCCAATGAAACAAATTTCATCCAAAAAAAATTTTTTTAAACTATTTATCTATGATAAAATAATATATTACATAATAAAATAGTGTAATTATGAAGAATATATACCCCTTATTACTTACTTTTGGTATAAAGTATTGACTAGCCCATTCTGATCCAAATTTTTTACATAAATTTACAAGATTTTCAACAGCTGCTTCTCTAATTGCATAAACTTGATCAATAAGCCATGATAAACATAATTCAATTAATTGATTATTAAAAAATTCTAAACCTAATTGTTCCGCTAATAATGGCATATATTCAATAATAGCTAAACGAACACGCCATTTTGGATCTTCAGCTAATTGTATAATAGCTGGTAATAAATTAATAGTTAAATGATCAATTCCAATAATTGAATTAACTTGTTCTAAGTTTGAAATTACATTTAAACGAACTTCTGGATTATCATCATTTAATTGAGCAAGAAATATAGGTAATAAATGTTCAATTGTTAAATTTTTACCAATTAATGGAGCTAAACCAAGTATAGCATTAGCTAATGAAGATTTTACATGAGTATTTGATTCATTTGTAAGACTTTTAATTGCTGGTAATAATTGTAACATAATTATATCATCTTTTGATGCTAAACCATTATTATTATTATTATTATCATTATCATTGAGATTATTGACTGAATCAAATTTCTCATCAATTTCCATCATTTTATTATCTAATGTTATTGTTGTAGAAGAATTTTTACAATCTTTTGTATCAGAATTAGTAGTTTTATTAGTAGTATTTATATCAGCATCAATTGGTAAACCTAGTAGACATTTGGCAAATGCTTTTACTTTTCCAGCAGCAAATGCTCGTACTTCAGCTTCTTCATCATGAAGTAGTTTCATGAAGAAAGGCTAGATATTTACAATAATTTTTTAAAAAAAAAAGGTAACGGAATGAACATGATTGAAAAGTTCAGGTTGAAATAAGAGATATTTTTATGCAAAAAATTAAGCAAATAGATATAATTTATAGCAAACTATACGAGATACATGTCAACAATGGACCATTCTATAACAACAACTCATGTATTTCAATGTACAAAGTATGTACTTGACCAATCTTACAATATTACATTTTTATTCTTAATACTGTTCGGATAAAGGATTAGTACAGAAGTGATTAAACATTTCATATTCTTAGGAATGATTGTATCTTAAACTGGGAATCCAGATGTAACAAATCTACAGTTGACCTTTTGTGAAACCAGAGATTTAAACTAAATTTAATCTATTTTATGGGTTAGAGTTCTGACGTTTGAAGTCTCGAATCACATTATGATACAATCTTTTCTATCCTTCTATATATTTACCATACAACTATAAATATGAATGTACAGCTTAAGTAAACGATTTTTCATGACTATTATTCAATTATTATTGTGACTTTTATGTTTTTCGTTTTTCTCCATATCTGTCAAGCGGACAATTATTTTCCATAATTCTGATACGTAAATTATTTTCACCCTTCTATTTTTCTCAAACTCCCTGATTATTACGCAACCTCATTTGAGATTTGGAATCTTGAATCACTTTATGATGTAGTCTTTTCTGATTTTTATTCTTTAAAATACTTAATAAACTATTTTGTTATCCGGCTGATACAATCCAATATACTAAAATGCCTAGTAATAGCATCCGTAACTCTTTATCATTAGTGAAACGATCTCATTCAAAATCTTCTCTATATGAATTACTTTACTGTTATAACTTGAAAAAGCTGATTTTTCTTGATACAACCGCGTATAACTGAGCACTAGAACACCAAACCCTTCCAAGTCGCAATAAGAAGACAGAAGACTAACGAAAGGAATATTATTCCAAACAGTGTCAAACATAGTACAAAATTGTCAGGTATTTATAGTTTTTAGTGAGAACGAAATCATCATTACAGTCTTCCAATCCGCGTACAGGGGGTTATTAGCGTTATCCAATCGGGAAGCTACACGTTGGAATTCTAGAACATTCTTCCGAAAGGTGATTGGATGGAATGTCTTCGGCTCCCTATGAGCCTCTTACAGCTTCCTCGAGTTCACCGGTGGTCCGTCGTCACATTTACCAGTACATTTTCGAAACTCGAATAATTCACCGCAATTTGCTCGTGAACTAAGAACTCTCTCATCATTTGCTAGGTGTACTGATGTTAATCTTTCCTGTGAAACTTCCTCAAATATGCTTACAACTTTAAATTTTCTATTCGACTAGTGAAATCATAGTAAAATCACGGTGTAACCATTATTATTACTGAACTCACTTTCCAACCGTTGCTACTAACTTAACGTGGTCGGACTTGCCTATCGGGTTATACTTGCTGGAACAATCAATTCTCAAGGTCCTACAATGCCAGATAAATCAGTTTAAGAACGGTAAGACTAAAAGCAAAAAACGCAAGTTCTATGGGTGAAGTTATACTGCTGACTGTACAGAGATGTGACGGCAGTAAAGTGTTTCCCTTCAGACAACCAGTATGAGAGATGTGCCATTCCACAAAGTAAGGTTAGGGTTAGAAAAAGTCGACGCTAAAAACGCACACCTTGCCTTATCCCACGGATATCCGTCTCCGGTGGTAAGGTCTCAAAAAGTACGGAGCTAACACGAAAATTACGCACAAAAATGTCGTGTGACCGACCTTAAGCAGTCGTCCCTTGGGCACTGCGGTCACGCTCTCAGGTCACTAAGACCATCTCTGGTTCAGTTTCCTTTTCAGGTACCCAGAAGAACCGTTCCACGGTGTGGGCAACTGGGAAGTGTTAGCTCCGTTCTTTAAAGGGCCTTATCGCTGGAGACGGAGATCCGTGAGGTAAGGTGAGGCGTGATATTTTCATAGCCGACCTTTCTAACCCCTTCCTTCCTTGTGAGAAGGCAGCATCTCTGCAGATGCTGGTTGTCCGAGGGAAACACCCTGCTGCTATCACACCCATCTATAGTGAGCAGTACGACTTCTCCCTTAGACCTTGAGTTGTTGCTTTTAGTTTTACCGTTCTCCAATCGACCTGCCTGGTATGGTAGAACCTACAGGAACATATGTTCCGGCCAATATAGCTCGGTTGGGTCATCACGATAGGCAAGCCCGACCACCACGTCAAGGTAGCAGCTACGGTCGGGCTAGATAAGTCTTGTTGAAAAGTAAAATTTTCAGTAAAAGCTTTGAATCTAAGGTCTAAAATCAATTAACTTCAAACATGTGGGAAACCATGAAACTAAGACGAAAGCAGAAACAATCAACAGTTATTATATTACCAAACTATACGAATGTATTATAGGACAAAAGTTAGAATCGTAACCAGATTGCTGAGTAAATTAGTTGAGAACGAAAATAACAGTATGTTGATAATTATTGTGTTGTTATCTATTTAAAGTTTTTTAAAAAAGCAAGGCACTTGAAAACTCCCCAGTGCTAAAAATAGAAATCATTAGTCACACTTCATGAATGATAGGTAACTTTCGCATTGGGGATAGACTATACACCAACATGGAATACCAGATATCAGACCACAGGATTTACGGCATAATGCTCCATGCATATAATCCGAAGATTATACAATACAATGGGGAATTCAAAATGACAGCCATTAATCACAACAATTGATGCCTAACCAACCAACTCGATTGTACTTTAACCTTTAATGTATGATAAATGAATGATTTGAGATTTCGCATATCAACTAAACTAGTGATCAGATAAGCTAAGAATTTTATCAGAACAGCTGGCTTGAATTAGCAAACAATATGAATACGAAAAAATCCATTTGACCTAAATGAAAGATTTATGCAACGTGTGTGGGTTAAACTGATGGTGTCAGTAGTTGAAAGATGTAAAAAGTACATGAACACAGTGAATCTGTATTTCTGGATTTAATTGGCCAACTTAGAAAATAGAGTAAAATACAGCTCTCACTAGTTAGGAGTGTTCACAATCAACACATTCATCACACTAACATAAAATTCATTATCAAAGACATGTAAATGTAGTTGTATATGTGGATTGCGTGATATTATGTTTGTACAGATAGAATGGATAATTTAGCGACACTATCATTTCTATAAAATACACCAACAACCATTACCTTCAGTTTTAATTATCATTTGACCCCAGTTGTAAATTTTTTGAAATTTGAAATGGCAGATAGAATATTAAAAGTATATCCGAAAAGTCTACCTTACAGTGAAGATAGCTGATAACATAGAAGATTACTAACTTACTACCAATCGTTCACGTGAAACTCGTAAACCCATAGCTGTCTGAATTTCTGTAAATTTATCGGCTACAACACATCGAACACGCCAAGATCTATCAGTTGTAGCTTGTTGGATGAGATCAATTAAATAACCTTCAGATTCTTCAGGTCCCAATGCTTGTGCTAATTGAACAATCGATTCGACTGCCATAAGGCGTACAGACTCTTGTTCATCATCAACTAGTCGAACAAATAAGGGAATAATTATAGTAACAATATAACTGCGTTCTTTCTCAGGGTCTAGAGTAAAGTCATCAGATTGAAGAGGATTTGCAAGAGTTGACGATTTTTCAGCTACGCTATCATTAGTCAAACGTTCATCAGCAGCAACTCCACAACTAAAATGACCACTGTTCAAACTAACCACTTCATTTGTTAATATTTTTGATTCAGTGATAGAAGTGGTCATATTACTTGAATTATGCTCAGATATCTGACTTGATTTTTCTCCATCAGCACTAGGTTTCTCGGAAGATTGACCTACTGACATGGCTAGTGCTAGTTCACCTAGTCGAGCAGCAACTGCTCTTCTGACCATCGGTGTTTCATCCCTATATAAATTCATAAAAATATGTAATTTAGCAAGTATCAATAGTCAGTAAAACCGGAAACACAAAATAAATTGAAGTGATATTAAATGGCATGCAATGTAATATATTGTAAAGCCATCCCAGAATAATATGCACGCCTTTGGGAACCCAATAAATATAGGTTGGTGGATTTAGTGAATATCTCGCTTAGCATATTTTCCTTAGACATTAACTTGTATGCTTTACAGTTTACTGCATGAGAGGAGGGAGTGGCCCCCTAAGAAAACTACCTGCTTCGGTCTGGGCGCCCGGGAAGTGTTTCAGTCCTTACACAAATCGAATGACGAAGTGAGGCGCATATACACTTGGTGCCTCCTTATACCAATGTTCGTGTTTAAATAAATAAACAAATAAATGAGTCTGTATGCAGTCATTGGGTTGTGTTTATCCTTCTACATAATTTCGCGTTTCTGGTCAGTTACACCAGTCACTCACAAATACGATACAGAATGTGAATCTGAAAACAAATAACCAAAAAATATCGTACAGAAGATACATTGTTTGCAAAAAACGAGAGCTACGATAGTCTGTTTTGCTCATTCGTGGCGGTGGATCAGCGGTTAATGCGTCCGATTTCCAGCCACTAAGTCACAAACTCTAACCAAGTTTCCCCTACTTTGACTACGTAAACCAGATAGTATTCCTATCGCACACATCTAGTGTGACTTAAGGCCAAGCAAACAAATACGTACCTGGTTTGTTAGTTAATAATGATAATGATAATAATAATAATAATAATAATAATAATAATAATAATAATAATAATAAAAATTTGTAATGGTAATATTCAGACACAATTCTACAATTTAGTAGTTTATTAAAAATACATTATACTTGTAGTGTAAGCAAGAAGTATATCCACCAAACAAGGGCACGTATATTGTGCAGTACCTAACTCTGGATTACTTTATGATTGTGAAACGTGGACTCTGAAAATAGAAGACAAGTGTAGGCTACAGGTTTTCATCACTTATGTCTTCGAAACATTGCATGAGCTTCGTGGAAATGACAGATTGAACAACGTTAGGTTTATACATGGGAAATAGGAAAAGGTGGTAAACGGATGATGAGTTTGTCATTCTTCATCGACTGAGGTGGTTGAGACATGTTTTGCGCTTACTTAACCACCGTCTACTTCGACGACCGATGCTCCATGATATAGAAGTAGACTGGAAAGAAGCTAGGGCCACCTAATCCAAAATCTGGCATCAGTTCATCTAGTCACAAAATGTTGGGCTAAGCGATATAGTTAGAAGCAGACTACCTAACTGAGCATCATACAACAACTGTGGCCAGTGGCTGAAGACTTTGAGTCATACGGATAGAAATCATTCACGATGGAGCAGACGTACTCGCTTTGTATCTTGAATTCCAATATTCCCACAAAAATACCTTCCACTTTGCAATTTGGGACCATATTGCTGATTTTCAATCTTTCTTATTTTCATTATTACTACATTATTTTGACCGCTTTGCAAGTCTTGTTATGTTAATCCCCTAGTATGAATATGGTATGGCAACTTGACTCAAAGCACATATGTGCCAGACTACGTCGATGATGACTGATACGTCCCAACAAAGTTAAACGAAATATCTATCTTTGAAAAAATAACTACGAAATTACTAATGTGCTAACTAGTCCTGCTGAAAGGTTAACAGAGAGGATGAGGCATATGTCAAAAATAAACATATTTGCTTTTACGAATCACGTATTTAACTAATATTTTACGAACGAACGCTTCTTAATACCATAAGTATCATGTATTTTCTATCTAAAACTGGCATTCATGTTATAAATCATGAACCGAATCCGATACATGGCCAGGACAAAGAACATTACAAAATATTGTTTCAAGTCAAGATGTAAGAGAACATCAAAAGGAAAAAGATATTAAAAATCAAAGTGAAAAACAAACAAATAACTGGAAAAACTCTTATCCTGATTGTACCATGACAAAATCCAGACAGGTCCCAAAAGACTGATTTATCGTAATCGCTTATGTTCGATTGTCAAGATAACTAAGATTACAAACATGGATTTCAAAGTTTGGCCGTTAAGAACTCGTCTTCAAACCACTAAGTCTTATGCAAAAAATGAGGCTCCAGTTATTCCGGTATGAATTAACAAATGGTATATTTTAAGTCTTTACAACGTGTGCTTTAAGACCTGGTGCAAGATAGGAGTAAAATAGCACAAGATTACTTACTTACGCCTGTTACTCCCAATGGAGCATAGGCCGCTGACCAGCATTCTCCAACCCACTCTGTCCTGGGCCTTCTTTTCTAGTTCCATCCAATTCTTGTTCATTTTTCTCATGTCTATCTTCAGTTCTCGGCGTAATGTGTTCTTTGGTCTTCCTCTTTTCCTTTGACCTTCAGGATTCCATGTGAGGGCTTGTCTTGTGACGCAGTTGGGTGCTTTCCTCAATGTGTGTCCTATCCACTTCCAGCGCTTCTTCCTGATTTCTTCCTCCACTGGGATCTGGTTTGTTCTCTCCCACAGTACGTTGTTGCTAATAGTGTCCGGCCAATGGATTTGAAGTATTTTGCGTAGACAACTGTTAATAAACACCTGTATTTTCTGGATGATGGCTTTTGTAGTTCTCCAGGTTTCTGCCCCATACAGTAGAACTGTCTTGACATTTGTATTGAAAATCCTGACCTTGGTGTTGGTTGACAGTTGCTTTGAGCTCCAGATGTTCTTCAGTTGTAAATATGCTGCTCTTGCTTTGCCGATCCGCGCCTTCACATCTGCATCAGATCCACCCTGTTCATCAATGATGCTGCCCAAATATGTAAAGGTTTTTACATCTTCCAAATCTTCTCTGTCAATTGTGATTGGATTGGTGCATGCTGTGTTGTATCGGAGAATCCTGCTTTTCCCTTTGTGTATGTTGAGACCTACTGCTGCTGAGGCTGCTGCCACGCTGTTTGTCTTCTCCTGCATCTGTTGTTGCGTGTGGGATAGAAGGGCCAGATCGTCTGCGAAGTCTAGATCATCCAACTGCATCTTAGATGTCCATTGTATCCCGCGCTTTCCTTCAGACGTTGACGTCTTCATGATCCAGTCGATCACCAGGAGAAAGAGAAACGGTGAGAGTAAGCAACCTTGCCTAACACCGGTCTTCACTTCGAACGACTTTGTCAACTGTCCTCCATGCACAATTTTGCAGTGTAATCCATCATATGAGTTCTGTATGATATTGACTATCTTCTGAGGCACGCCGTGGTGTCGAAGAAGTTTCCATAGTGTTGTTTTGTCCACGCTGTCAAATGCCTTTTCGTAGTCAATGAAGTTGATGTAGAGTGATGAATTCCATTCAATTGATTGTTCCACAATGATCCGTAGAGTTGCGATTTGGTCTGTACACGATCTATCCTTACAGAATCCTGCCTGTTGGTCTCGAAGTTGGGCGTCTACGCAGTCCTTCATCCTGTTTAACAATACCCTGTTGAAGACTTTTCCCGGTATTGAGAGAAGAGTGATGCCTCTGTAGTTATCACACTTGCTGAGATCGCCTTTCTTCGGTATTTTGATTAGAAGTCCTTCTTTCCAGTCTGTTGGTACTTGTTCCTCATCCCAAATCTTATTGAAGAGAATGTGGAGTATCCTTGCAGTTGCCGCTACGTCTGCTTTTAGTGCCTCTGCCGGGATGTTGTCCGGTCCTGCTGCTTTGCCACTCTTGATTTGCCTGATGGCCATGCTGATTTCTTCAATTGTTGGTGGGCCAACATTGATTGGGAGGTCCGTGGGTGCTGCTTCGATGTTGGGTGGGTTCAGTGGCGCTGGTCGATTCAAGAGTTCTTTGAAGTGTTCTATCCACCTGTTTTGTTGCTCTTCAATGTGGGTGATTACCTTGCCTTCCTTGCTTTTTACTGGTCGTTCTGGTTTGCGGCGATTTCCAGAGAGTTTCTTTGTCGTGTCATACAATTGTCTCATGTTTCCTTCTCTTGAAGCCTTTTCCGCCGTCGTTGCTTAATCTTCCACATATTTACGTTTGTCGGTTCTGATGCTCCTCTTCACTTGTTTGTTTATTTCCGTGTATTCAGCTTGTGCCTTAGCTTTTTCTGCTCTTGTTCGGCTGGTATTGATCGCTGCCTTCTTGTTTCTTCTTTCTTGAATCTTATCCAGTGTATCAACAGTGATCCATTCCTTGTGGTGGTGCTTCTTGTGACCCAGGACCTCATGACATGTTGAAGTGATTGCCTCTTTGACCCCCTTCCAGTTGCTCTCCACAGTAGTTCCTTCTCCATTGAGTAGATCATGAAAGGCCTGGAACTTGTTGCTGAGGACTATCTTGAATTTGTTGAGTTTGTTAGTATCCTGGAGAAAGGCCGTATTGAACTTTTGTGATACTGTCTACCCCGTTGTACAGTGCTTCTTGAGTTTCAATTTCATCTTGGCGACCAGTAAGTGATGATCTGATGCTATATCAGCTCCTCTCTTGGTTCTCACGTCCTCTATAGTCCTCCTGAACGTTTTGTTGATGCAAATATGGTCGATTTGGTTTTGTGTAGAGTGATCCGGTGAAGTCATGTGGTTTTGTGTATGCGTTTATGTGGGAATACGGTGCCGCCTATGACCAGCTTATTGAAGGCACATAGATTTGCAAATCTCTCACCATTTTCGTTTCTTTCTCCCAGTCCGTGTCGTCCCATGATGTCTTCATATCCAGTGTAGTCCGTTCCAACCTTGGCGTTGAAATCTCCCATCAGAATGGTCAGGTCCTTTGTTTGGCACTTCTCGACGATTGACTGCAGCCTATTGTAGAATTGATCTTTAGCGTCTTCATTGTAGTCGTTGGTAGGCGCATAGCATTGGATGATGTTCATTGAAATGCCCCCTTTCTTTGTTTTGAAGGAGGCTTTGATGATCCTTGGTCCATGAGATTCCCATCCTATAAGTGCATTTTGCGCTTGTTTGGACAGCATCAATGCAACTGCTTGTGTATGTGGTGCATTTTCTTCTTCATGGCCGGAGTATAACAGGAGCTCTCCTGTAGTTAGTCGTTGTTGTCCAACTTGTGTCCAATGTGTTTCACTGATCCCAAGTACCTCTAGGTTGTATCTTCTCATTTCTGCAGCAATTTGGAAGGCTCTTCCGGTGTCCCACATTGTACGAACATTCCATGTACCTAAATAAATGGTCGCTCTGGTTGTCAGAAGGGGCATCAGCCTCGTAGCTTCCGAAGGAATTCGGCTTTCATCATGAGGCGTCATAATTCTTCTAAATGAAGACCTTCTGACTCCCAGGGCAGAGTTCAAAATGTTTGAATAATTTTTTCTGGTTAGCGTTTTTTTAGCGAGTTAGTTTTCTACGGGATGGGGACGCTAACCCCATGCCCAACCCTCCTCCTTTATCCGGGCTTGGGACCGGCAGTAGCCCCCGGAGGGACTCCAGGCGGAGTCCTGCTGAAAGGTTAACAGAGAGGATAAGGCATATGTCAAAAATAAACATATTTGCTTTTACGAATCACGTATTTAACTAATATTTTACGAACGAACGCTTCTTAATACCATAAGTATCATGTATTTTCTATCTAAAACTGGCATTCATGTTATAAATCATGAACCGAATCCGATACATGGCCAGGACAAAGAACATTACAAAATATTGTTTCAAGTCAAGATGTAAGAGAACATCAAAAGGAAAAAGATATTAAAAATCAAAGTGAAAAACAAACAAATAACTGGAAAAACTCTTATCCTGATTGTACCATGACAAAATCCAGACAGGTCCCAAAAGACTGATTTATCGTAATCGCTTATGTTCGATTGTCAAGATAACTAAGATTACAAACATGGATTTCAAAGTTTGGCCGTTAAGAACTCGTCTTCAAACCACTAAGTCTTATGCAAAAAATGAGGCTCCAGTTATTCCGGTATGAATTAACAAATGGTATATTTTAAGTCTTTACAACGTGTGCTTTAAGACCTGGTGCAAGATAGGAGTAAAATAGCACAAGATGACCAGATACAAAGTAAGATGAAGAATCTGTCACCAAAATTATTTGATACACTGCATTTTTACAATAGTTATGAATGTAGTTAGGTATTACTCCATAATCACTAATCATACAATTAAAAATGTTAATTGATAAAAATAACATTACCAGACATAAAATACAAATTTCAGGGCTAATATTAACTTACTTGGCTAGTCTCCTAAGAAAATCAAGTAATTCCCATCGTTTTGAGCTCCTTACTCTAGGATATACTACACTAAAGAGAGCGCATGCAGAGGTTCGGCTTGTGAACCAATCACCAGTAGCTAGGCGATGTAACAATGGGTTGAAATATTTTTCCATTGCTTCTGTAGTATGGTCTGGTGCAAGTTTCCTGAGTGCCTCTACAGCCCTGTCACGTACAACCGTTTCTTCAACCTTTTTTCAAAAATGAAACAAAATAAACGCAAAATTGCTTATCGATTCGGCTCAACTAAGCATTTTGATTTATTTCAGTTTAAAAGCACAGCATTTATACAAACTAGTTACCATAGTGAATCGGTATTTGAACGGGTCGTTTTTAAAGCATATGTCAGAAAACTAGTAGATTTTCATGCAACTAGATTTCAGTTGCACTAGCTTATGAAGACTAATAGGACTTCACGGTCTCCCAAACTGAAATGTTTGAAATGGAGTTCGAAACCATAACACAATGGCTAAATGTTAAGTACTTCAATTGCTAAGCCATAAGTAAAAGTAGAACCTAATCAACAAGAAAAATTATTTTTCCGAGAAACTACACTCATAAATATACAATGCCGTCCACTTTTTAACCTAGTCATATAACATGGTAAGTTAGCGGTTACACTAGACGAGACCAGATGATCACCCACGATCAAACTATTGGACAGTAAAAAGGAACTCCCCTGCCAGTCTAGCATGTAAAGCCCAGAGGAGATAACCAGTATAGAATTAACAGTCAATTTCACCTCAGTAACAATAGGTAGTGTTCGTAATTAGTACTCTATCGTCATGAAAATCAGTAGAAATCAGGTTCATAGAGATGGAATTTTAAGCTTCGATTTCTTCTTACTTTCTGAGGATGTCCTACCAAGGAGAATCAATTACTTATTTTAATGTCTATTGAAGATGTTGATGTGTGGAGGAAACCAAACGCGATGATCACCAGGCTGATTTAAACGAGTGGACTAACTGATAGTCATTAGAAATAATTATACTTGTTATAACATAAATCAAGAAGACTGGTACTATTACTTGACTGTCCAAATTTCTACACCACAGGTTAGATTTCATAGATGGTGGGGATTTCACATTAACTCTCCGTATGCTAGGCAGGGACGTGTTAATTTCTTTTTGCGTACTCAGAACTAGACTATTACATATTTAACACTTAATACTGAAAAATGCCCATACTGTAATAAAGCCTCCCTACAAATTATGATTACAATAACTCTACTCCACGTCAAGTAATGAGTGATAGGTGTAGTCAGACATAATCAGCGTAAACCTGACACACATGGGTTGCCCTAGGTAAAATTGAAAAGATGAGTAGCAAGGAAGTCAAAACCATCGTCGTAGCAATGATGAGGATAAACCTTTAGAATATGACCCCAGAAGTTAGTGAAAAGGTATGTACGACGGTATACTCGAATTCAAAATTGGAAGATAGGAAGGAGGCAATGAAAAACTTTTGAATGAATTCTGACCCTCGAACATTACAAGTAACTTACTGCTGCAAGACTCTCAAGTGGAGGAAGAAGTGAGTGGGCATACTCAGGACCGCCCACATATGGAACTAGAGTTCCGATTTGTTCTGCTAAAGTGAGCAGTACTTCATCTTCATCATATATTGTTTCTGTCAGAAACGGTATTAGTTGAGATCTGGTCTTTTCCGGGCCAAGAGCTAAGGCAATAGTAGAGATTTTGCGAATGCTATGAAGACGAACGTGTAAGTCTTCACCACGAAGTTCTTCGATAAGTACACCGATAGGATAATCCTCATCCCTCTCACTTTCCATCAGTATCTAAACAAACAAAATTGGAGTAAATTGATTAGTTTGTGGACCATGTTAGATTACAACTTAAATAATAAAGTATACATGTATCTACTTCTATAAATGTTTTTTTTAATGGATGATGCTCTCAAGACCCTGGCACGACTATTAAGATTCATCACATTTCACGTCTGTTATTTCTAACGGATGTAATGCGTAGTGGGTTAAACAATCTTCCTCCAGTTTTAGTTTTAACATTGTCTTAATCTGTAAATTGTGTTGTTGCTGGTTACTACTTATTGCTTTACTTACAAAACGTAAGTGTGTTGTATGCGTTTGTTGGGTCCTCGACTTACCTTTTCTTGTCCTCTTAGCCCTCTTCACTCACGCTACTCTGTATGCCTCTGTAATACACACAGTAGCCTCTAGTTGGACGCGAACCGATACAACAGGTTTTGTCGTCAATTTCAAGTGCATTCTGTGCTCAAAAGTTGTTGGGTTAGGCTTTTGTTAATTTTACTCGGGAGCTTCAAAAAATTATCTTTAAACCTTTAAAATAACTGTAGAATTTTACATAAAGCACAAACGTAGTACCGGTCAACAGTATTAAACATTTGACAGGGACTGATACGATATAGTGTACATCCCAGTATTGGTTGAGAATGTGGATATAAAATAAAAGACAAGAAAACTGGCTTGGATGCAAGGTGGAAAACATCTAGCTAATAAAAGCCTAGCCAAATGGAAAAAGGCTACAGCTGATATTTCTGTCAGCTTGATATTCAGTATTTACGAGTTTCTACTAAGATACTGTCATGCTTAAGGGAGATTAAGTGACAAGTTAAGTTCAATTCAGCTAAAAACCGTGTAGTTTAGATTTATTCCAACAAAAAACACTACCTATGTATGGGTTTGTAAGTTCGTCTAACATGAAACCTGGAGAACGAAATTTGGCGCTATTTTCACGGACAAACTAAAACTCCACAATGCGAAAACAATCTAAGTCAATTCTGATTTCGTATAGTCTTGAAAAATTAAGTGATAATAAAGTCAAATCAGATACGCAGCCTTCTTCAACCTAGTACTAATAAACATGTACATGTGAATTATAATCGTTTTGGCGCCTTTTAAAAAACTTACTTCATACTTACGCCGGGTGGAAATATATGTAACGTTGTCAGGTCAACTTAATGTATCGTGGGCCGTTATAACAGTTACGGGTTTGTCATACCATAATATAATTTCGACTTTTGAAAAAAGTTACACTATGCTGTGAATTTTGCTATGGCAGTAATTTTTTAACAACGTTGAACTGCGTTATGCTGGAAATGCATTGCAGGCTGGAATGATATCCTAAGTCATAGAAATCTCAATAAAACTCGTGATCGTTTCGAAGTAAACTGCCAGTGAATAACGTTACTGGGGAAAGTAATGTTGTTCTGCAAATTATGTTTTACTATTGTCCCCGGTCTCTAAGCAATATTCTTGTCCTCTGCTACTTACTTACTTACTTACACCTGTTACCCCTCCATCCAACCTCATCCTGGGCAATCCTTTCCAACTCCTCCAAGTTGCCATTCATCCTTTTCATATCTGCTTCTATTTTCTGACGTAACACTTTCTTCGGTCTTCCTCTTTTCCGCTTCCCTACAGGATCCCAAGTTAAGACTTGCCTCGTGATGCAGTTTGACGATTTCCGTAATGTATGTCTCATCCATTTCCATTGTCTTTTCCCAATTTCCTCTTCAAGTGGAAGTTGGTTTGTTCTTTCTCACAAAACGCTGTTGCTGATGGTGTCCGCCCGATGGATGTAGCGTAGATAGCTATTTATAAATACTTGTACTTTCTTGATTGTGGTTGTTGTAGTTCTCCAAGTTTCAGTTCCATACAGTAGAACTGCCTTGACGTTCGTATTGAAGATTCTCACTTTGATATTGGTTGAAAGTTGTTTTGAGTTCCATATGTTCTTCAATTGTAGGAATGCGGCTCTTGCTTAGCCACTCCTTGCCTTCACGTGTGCATGTGAACCTCCTTGTTCATCGATGATGCTTCACAGGTATGTGAAGGTTTCTACATCTTCCAGAGGTTCGCCATCGAGAGTGACTGGATTGCTGTCTACCGCGTTTTTTGACCTTGATTTTCCCTCTCAATGTGTTCAGGCCTACTGATGAAAAGACTGCTGCGACACTAGTTTTCTTCATCTGTATTTGTTCGTGTGTATGCGATAGGAAGGCTAGGTCATCTACGAAGTCGAAATCTTCTAATTGGTTCTGAGCTGTCCATTCAAGTGTCGAGGTCCTCATAATCCAGTCGACCACCAGAAGAAAGAGAAAGGGGGGAAAGTAATCAGCCTTGTCTGACTCCGGTCCTTACTTGGAATGCATCTGTCAGCTGTCCTCCATGCACGACCTTGCGCTGTAGTCCGTCGTATGAGTTCCGGATAATGTTGACAATCTTCTCGGGAACTCCAGTGTCGAAGAAGTTTCCATAATATTTTCCTATCTACACCGTCAAATGCCTTCTCATAATCAATGAAATCGATGTACAGTGACGAGTTCCACTCAATTGATTGTTCGACGATGATCCATAGTGTTGCAATTTGATCCGTGTACGACTGATCCTTACGGAATCCAGCTTATTGATCTGGAAGTTGAACATCTACTGTGTCTTTCATCCGGTTCAGCCACACTTTGTTAAAGACTTTGCCTGGTACTTACAGGAGTATAATGCTTCTGTAGTTTTCACATTTGCTCAGATCTCCTTTCTTTGGAATCTTGATGAGGTGTTCTTCTTTTCAATCCATGCATACTTATTCTTCCTCCTAAATCTTGTTGAATAGAAGGTGAGGCATGTTTGTAGTTACTTCGATGTATGATTTCAGTGCTTCAGCTGGTATGTTGTCGGGTACTGATGTTTTCCCTCTCTTGATTTGTCTGATGGCCATTGTGACTTCTTCGATCGTTAGTGTTGTGACATCTATAAGAAAGTCTGTGTGTGCTGCTTCGATGTCCGGTGGATTCATTGGAGCCGACCTATTCAGGAGTTCCTCGAAGTACTCTACCCATCTCTTCCGCTGTTCTTGAATTTCAGTGATTACCCTGCCTACTTTGTCTTTGACCTTTCTCTCTGGTTTACTGTATTTCCCTGCCAGTTTCTTCGTTGCGTCGTAAAGCTGTTTCATATTTCCTTCTCTTGCAGCTTTTTCTGCCGTCGTTGCTAATTCTTCCGCGTATTTCTGCTTGTCGGCTCTAATGCTCTTCTTCACTTGCTTGTTTGTTTCTGTGTATTCAGCTTGTGCTTTGACTTTCTCTGTTCGTGTTCGCCTGTCGTTTATTGCTGCCTTCTTGTTCTTCCTTTCTTTGATCTTGTTCAGTGTTTCGATAGAGATCCATTCCTTATAATGGTGTTTCTTTAAACCCAGAACCTCTTGACACGTTGAAGTTAATGCTTCCTTGATGCCTTTCCAGTTGTGTTCCATACTAGTTTATTCTTCTTTCAGTAGATCTTGTAAGGCTTGGAACCTGTTGTTGAGAGCTATCTTGAATTCATTGAGTTTGTCAGTATCTCGAAGGAAGGCTGTATTGAACCTTTGTAGTGCTGTTTGTTCAGTTGTCCAGTTCTTTTTTAGCTTCAGTTTTAAATTGGCCACAACTAGGTGGTGATCTGAAGCTATGTCAGCTCCCTCCTGGTTCTCATATCTTCCAATGTCCTTCGGAATTTTTTATTGATGCAAATATTACCTATTTGGTTTTCTGTGGTGTGGTCCGGTGAGATTAGTTTAGCTTTCTGTATACGTTTGTGTGGAAATATTGTGCCTCCTATGACGAATTTGTTGAATGCACACACATTTGCAAATCATTCTCCATTTTCGTTTCTCTGTCCCAGTCGATCCATGTCGTCCCATGATATCATATCTGTTGTTGCTTATGCCGACTATAACGTTTAGATCTCCCATCAGAATGGTGAGGTCGTTTTTCGGGCACCGCATGGCCGTCCATTTGAAGGTCCTTTCAAAGTTGTCTCATGGAAATCTAAATATTCCATGGTAGAAAAACACAGAACCATCGACTCTGTTATTATCGATAGGCTAAAAGCTGCTTATTTCGTTCATGAACCCCCATATATGTTGTGAGACCGTTTGCCTGACAAAACAATAACGAAATCGTCAAGCGAAAACGATAGATCTTCACAAGTGGCTAAAAAATTTAGACGGGCATAGCCGATTAGTCAGTGAATAACATTGACAGTTTTTGGCTGCAGACTAAAATACAACCAGGCATCTAATAAGATCTTGCGTTTATTTAGCTTAAATTTTTTTCGTGCCTTTTCACCTATTTTAATTAATTAACAAAAATATAACTAATAAAATGTAGTCTGCAACATTATGCTATTCACACTTCTTAGACGTTTTACTTTTGATACATTAGCGTTACATTCATTTTTTAATACTGAATACATGAGCTTTTATCCGTGAGCGTACGCTGAGTAATAGAAGACGAATACATATAAAAAGGGTTAAGTTACAAAACAACGAAGAATCTTCAACTAAGGTGAGTGATGTGAGCAAGCTTCGCCTGTCAAATCAACCATTTTCTTAGATTTTGCTTCTAATAATAGACAATGAGAAAGGTGAATGGTAACACTGAAAAAATTCTCTATTAACATGTACTATAAATTCAAGCAATAAACCCTCGAATAACGACAAGATCCAAAAGCAACTCAGGCGAGTTTTACGCTTTTTTCCTTCCCTGGGTAATTTACTCTGTTTTTAGTACTCCTAAACTTCTATAGATTTTTCCTCTTAGACTAGTTGCATATATTTCGTACGAGCCACTCTCAAAACCGTTTTTCTTTTTGTATAAGATAGGATTAGTAGCTGTATACGACCAAAACTAGTATTAAAAGCGTTTTATTTTTAAACGAAACATTTCAGATTGTAGCGTGGCGTCGAGTCGCGGTTGACTATGAACACCACTACAAGAAGGTTGCGTACAGAATATCGATAAAATCCTCCGGAAGCTAAATATCAGAAGGCAGTTAATGAACGTAGTCGAGATATATTTGCTGGCGATCTCGTGGTACCGAGATCGTGCCAGGCTACAAGCATGGCTTCTGAGCGTAACCGAATTTGCGCGAGGTCACAATCCAAAGTAAGAATAATGGATGGTTTCAGTTCAGTCAAACAAACAAGACAGAAAAACAATCACTGGTACAATTGCTTATAATACTGATTGTTTCGATTACACCAATCACGTTCTCTTGATAAAAGTATGTCACTACAAGATCAAACAATGGTTAAATACATGTAAGTGGTCCTCAGTGGAATAATGTTTTACATGCTTATAAAGGTTATTCAATAAGGTAAAGTCTATTAATGCTGCATGATTTACAATGTAATCACATAACTCAGTTTCATCGGTAACGTTCAATTTTTCTTCCATTATATTTTAAATTTATGGCATTTTCCACAGCTAATCCTCAAATCAAAGCTACTCATAAATGTTTTCTCGACATCACCATAAAGCTTTGTTACCATTTGACAAGCACGTGATATGGTCGGTCTAAGCGATGAAACTAGGAACTAAAACAGTCAATAACCTGACTAATAACTCTTCACAAATACTGTTGTTTTCTCACAGTTACTTTTATACAAACACTGACTAAAAGTTCAGTCCATTATCATAGGGATGGGTTGGGATATATGCTCATCTTGGCTAAAACCTATGCTTTCATGGCTTGTACTCACTTAATGTACGAACACTTAATTAACTGAAGATATCATACAGTATATTGCCTGTAAGATAACTATATTAGCTAAATTGATTTTACACATTTTGTAAGTGACTCGTTAGGTAATCAGAACATTGAGTTTACGATATAAATCCCACAGCCCAGCTCACGTCAAACAAATTATTGTCCGTGGTCCATACGGAATTCTTATCACTAGTGTTATGTAAAACACCATATTTTATATAAATAAGTC